ATATATATATATACAGTAAATACAATAATAATGTGCAATATAATTGTAATTCAAAAAACTATTTTCTACGTTGTTAATATATCTTAAAATATAATTTCATCCTTTGATCCAAAGCTCAATTTTCAGCCATTACTCCAGTCTTCCTGCTGCTTCATGCATGCTTCAATGCTGATTCGCTGCTCAAGAAACATTTCTGATTATTACCAATGTTGAAAACAGTTGTGCTGCTTAATATTTTGGAAACTGTGATGTAATTTTTTTCAGGATTCTTTGATGAATAGAAAGTTCAAGAAATAAAACTTTGATCAATTTATTGCATCCTTGCTGATTAAACCTTTACAAAAATCTTACCTCAAAACTGGTGCTCAAACTATTACAGCAAAAACATCAATAAACAAACTGAATTTTCCTTAAGATTTTTTCCCCCCTTTCTCTCCATTGATACTGGAAAAAATGAAATATGACCACAATCTTCTCATAAGTTTCATGAGAATTAGGATTTAGTTTTTTGTTTGTTTAAATTTTTTTTAAATCCTTTGTTTTAAATCTTTCTTAAATACATTGTCGGGGGGAGGAACTATTTAAAAAAAAAATAATCTAATTTGCTTAAATTTAAATTTTGCTGGTCTTTTCTACCCAGTGTGAAGAGTGTAGGAGAGATGGTGAGTACCGGCTCATCGAGGCTCTGTCGCAGGATGTTGTTGATCTCCTGCTGCTGCTTGGGTTCCAACTTCTTGATGAAAAACAGCACTTCCCACCATTCAGCACGGCTCAGGGTGCCTGTGTCATCCTGAGAGCCCTCCATCAGGTAAGGCAATGAGTACAGCCCACCAGGGGGCTTTGAGAAGAACGTCTGACTCACTGCCATGTTCACAAACACAGAAGAAAACACTGCTGGTTTCATATAAAGTGATGGACACACATAAAACACTCACGATCATGTGGTTGAGTGTGAGAGTTACCAGTAGTGAGTTTGAGTGTCTCTGTGAGGGACGAGGCCTTCTCCTGAGTCTCTTTCTCCGCCTGTCCTCCGCTGCCGTTGCCCAGAATTTCAATCATGTGCCAGTGCACCCAGTAGGTCCTGGACAGGGAGTTCCAGTACACCTGCAAAAGCCAGAACATGACAGACATCAAGGTTTGTACAGGCAGTATATCCATAAACGGTGTACTTAGGGGTACTTATATCTTAGTTTTCAACAAATGTGTAGTGAAAGGAGACGCTTCTAACTGCGAAACTCAGGAGGTCGTTTTATTTTCTATTTGCAACTTTTACCAAAAATTTGAATGTGTCTACATAGAGATGTGTGCTTTTTAGCAATAGATATTATAAACCATAGTAAATATACAAAATAAATCACATTTAACTTAGGGCTGGTAATCTAACACGTTAATTAGATTAATTAATTAAGGTGAAAAATAACACGTTAAAATTATTAACACATTTAACGCACTTGCCCCGCCCCAGACCCACGTGGGTCATCTGACATTTCATACAGCTGACTGATGACAAACATGAGGCAGGGCAACAACTCTGCGTGATGGAGCCTAGAGAACGTAGTTAGAATGTCCCTAAAATTCAAGATATGGGGCAAAAACGCCCGTTTGAGATTGTCTCATATTTACATCATATAGTTAAGCAATATCACACAAGCAATAAGTATTTATATCATACGAGTGCAAATGTGATACTGATCTTATACAACAGTTCAGTAAGAAAGAAGTCAATATTGTATTATTTTAGACACAATGCTGTCTGTTTTGCTCAATGTTGCCAACGGAAATATAAAGACAAAGCAGAACTGTTCGTCTCCGAGCAACACACAGCGGCATTTCATTTCTTAATGCACGTTTTGAACGAATTGGGTGAACCATTTGGCGCGTTGAACCATTGGCCATATGCGCGTTGGATTTGAAGCGGCGCTGCACAAACCGATCAGTGTGTGACATCAAAGTACAGCGAGAGCGATTCAAAAGCATGCAGAGCTGTCTGCTCTCTATAGCTCTTGCGGTACTTTGATGTCACACTTCGATCGATCTGATGGTGATGATCCGCTTCAAGTCAAACAAGCCTAATGATTCAATGGACCATTCATAAAGAACCATTTACTTCACTCCTGAATGAATCAGCCATTTGAACGAATCAAATGAATGAATAAATGACTAGATGACTTAATCATTAAGACATTTACCACTACCTACTGGCAGTTTTAGTTTATTATTTAGAGTATCATTTCATTAAAGAAATAATTTCATATTTCCATAGTAATAATAATAAAATTAATAAGATTAATTAAAGGTATAGTTCACCCACCCAAAAATGGCCCCTCGTGGTCCAAAAGAGTACAGGTGCATCTCAAAAAATTAGAATATCGTGAAAAAGTTTTTTTTTTTAACTTATTTCAAAAAGTGAAACTTTCATATATTCTAGATTAGGGCTGGGCGATAATTCGATAACAATAATTATCGCGATATAATTTTCCTCGATAAAACGATAAGAAGAGTTCGATAAATGTTCAATATAACGTTTATGCGCCAAAAGCGGAACGAAACAGCGCGACACATTTGAATCGCGCCACACGGACCATTTATCTGCTCGGACCAATGTTCAAAACGGCCGCGAGCTCTAAGCAGCGCTGTGAGATCCAGTGTGAAGCGCTTGAACTCAGCGAGGAACACAAATGATTTGGTGATTTAAACTAGTTTAATGGCAAACAGGAGAAACACTGTGTGCAACGAACGAGACAGTCAGAAGG